ATGTATACATTTTTTACTTTTAATTGAATAAATACAAAATTTTAAGTATTATGTTCAAAATATATTGCAAATATATAGGATATTCAAAAATTGAATATTAATATGATGAAAGGGGTACTCTTGACATGCAAAATATATGCACTACAATATTTTGCTGTTCTATTTTGTTAGTTATTACTATATATTATTTAATACGCAATTTAATATTCATGCAAACATAATACACTTTTACTTTAATAATATAGCAAAAGTTTGTGATTGTTCAACCATAAAAAGATTAAAATATTACGATTTTGTTTAATGTCACTAATAGTAAAAGTTAGTAATTGATTTTATTTCTAGGGATTACTAATTTCTGAATTTAGTTGTAAAGCAAAAGCATTTACTTGATCATAAATCTATTCCAATGAAATTAAGCAATTAAATGAGATTTATTGGTTCCGATAAGCGTGGAGAAAAACATCTTTACATAACCAAAAGCTGTAGGAGGCTCGATAAATATTCGACTATCGATTAAGTATCTTCGATATTCTATTAATGCTTATTTCAGGTTGTAAGTGAAGTTAACCGGTGTCGCGTGTTTCGCAAATAAGTAGAAGTGTGTACGAAGTTATTTCTTAACATTTCTAATGACTATCAAAACTTTTGAAATTAACGAGGTATGTATTTTTCCATAAAAATGATTAAAAAAAAATTAACTAAGTTATACTGTAATACTAGAAGAAATGGTTCTATTAATCCCGCTTCAAATTTTTTCGATTATCAAATGAGTGTGCATTTTTCTACTGTTTATTATATATTCATCGCATTTGTTGATTTGTCAAATATTAAACAATTTGTCAAGTTAAAATTTTAATTTCATTTACAATAAAATTAATTTTTAACTGTTTTATATAATGTGAACCTATTTCTTTAAATACTATTTTTTGAAGAATAACAACATGTTTTATGAACTACAAAATTGTTTATTTGAAAAATTTATTCAAATTTGTTGAAGATGGAAAATGAACCTCTTCAACCAGGATCAACTCAAGCTGATTTCATTAAGGAAGAATTGAACTTCGATATAGATCCAAATGATCCATTACACAAAGCAGCTTTAAATGAACATCCACCTGAAGAATGGATAGATATTTTGGGAAATGGACAGTTGAAAAAAAAGGTTCTAAAAAAAGGAAAAAATGGAACACGACCAAATAGATCTGATATCTGTACTCTAAATATTATTGGAAAATTAAAAGATGATACAACAGTTGAAAACTATGAAGATCTCAAAATTCAATTAGGTGATGTTGAAGTGATTCAGGTATTAAGTGTTATTTTTACTATTTACATTTTTTTCTAAATATGTATTAGTATTTTAAAAATTTTGTTATACTGATTAATATTTCAAGGCATAAAAAATAATGAGTAACAATAATTAATTTTGTAATATAAATAGAATTTTCATGTTTAACATAATGAAAATAATTTTTCTATTATACTGTTTAATCATAGGGGTTAGATCTGGCAATTGCACTAATGGATGTGGGTGAAGTTGCTGAGATTGAAGTTAATCCAAGATTTGCCTATGGTTCTCTAGGAAAAGAACCAAATATTCCACCTAATGCCTGTATATTATATACAGTTGAATTGAAATCCAGCCAATTAGAAGAAGAAATAGAAATTCTTAATGTCAATCAGCGAAAAGAAATTGGGTAATTACTTTTTATATAAGTATTAATATCAGTTAAATTAATGAGTTAATTACATACTTTCAATTTTTTCAAGTAACAAAAAACGAGAACGTGGAAATTGGTGGTTTACTCGTAATGAACCAACACTTGCAATTCAATGTTATCGGAGAGCATTGGAATTTTTGTTACCAATGGAAAATCGTGCATCTTATCAAAATGAGACAGAAGATACCACTACTGATGCAGAATTACAAGTTTTGTTAGAAGATCGTATGAAAGTATATAATAATTTAGCAGCTGCACAAATGAAAACACAAGCTTATGATGCAGCTTTGAAAAGTGTAGAAAGTGTTTTAAGTTGTCAACCACAAAATATAAAAGCACTTTTTAGAAAAGGTAATGCTATTAAAAATAAATTGCAGCAATAAATTTTGTATATTAAATGTCCTTTTTCTAGGAAAAATTTTGCATTATAAAGGAGAACATGCATTAGCATACCAAACATTACTTCAAGCAGCAAAATTGGAACCAGAAACAAAAGCTATTCAGATGGAATTAGCCATTTTAAAAGAAAAAAATGCTAAAGACGCTCAACATGAAAAAAATTTATATCGTAAAATGTTAGGTACACATAAAAATAATATTTCTCCAAAAAATTCAAAAAAAGAAAATAAGAATAATAGTCCGTCAAAGCTTACATTGAGTTTAATTGGTGGAGCAACTGCAGCTCTTGTAGGTATAGTTTTATACAGATTTGTTTCGTGAAAAAAATTTACAGACAAATTAAAATGAAAAACAATGTCCAAGCTAAATATTATAAAATGTACTAATATATAATTAAGCACCACTAATTGAAAATAATTGTAAACATATGGATATGAAAACAAGTAAACTGTATAAAATGAATAATTCTAATAATATATTCAAATCAGGAGAAAATGTCGTGATGTTACCAAATTTTATTTACTCTTTGTTTGAATATTGTATTTTATATTAGATACAAACAATTTGCAACTTTTTTAAGAAATTTGTTTTTTAAGTGTACCAAATTATTGTTAATTAGATATTTGTTTTTTTTTTAAATTTATTTATTTAATGTCGCATCAGCTTATTTGCCATTAGCGATCACACATTTCTACACTATTACATTGTCTTTTATATTATATTATTATTTGTGGAGATAGATTACTTAACTTACATTAACAATTGAGAGTCTAGGATGATGGCCTGGTCTTTCTTTGTAAAACTTAAATTTTTGGTTGCTTGAGTGTAGTTCATTTTGTGGTCTTTTAATCTGTTGATACTCATCATTGAATGCATGTTAACTAATACTTTGCTTGCTACTCTGCTATAGTCAGCGGAATGTTGGATTGGGGTATTCACTTTGATTTGCTCGAAAACGGGCTTAAATTGTAATAGGCTTCGAAAGTCACTTCTACACACTCGTATACACAAGTATAAATGCAAACGTTACTTGCAAAACCAGCTCCGGACAGTTTGTAAACACGTCTGTTCTGAGCAACGGCACGGAGAGAACTGAGATATTTGTATTAGTATACATGGTGCTAAGAGAGCTTGCAAAATAAATTAAGGATGTATATGTTGTGAATAATATATACTTTGTGTAAATCATTCTTGTAAAACTTTGTTGACATGAACATGTTTCAGTATGTACTTCTTAAGTACATTCAGAAACGTATTCTTTAAGGGAAAAATCTTCGCAATTATTATTGCACTAATTATTTATTTATTTTAATATCAACAATGACATAAGAAATATTGAATTGTTTTTGTGATTAGTTATTATTTTATAGTAACTTTTTAAATCATGTATAACAATATATTAACCTTATATGACGAGATATAAATAATGTAAAAAATAAAAAAATATGCAAATATTAAAATAATTTTGAATTAAAAATATTTGAAATATTTGTTTTTACATAATAGGTACAACATACAGTTTATAGTTGTATGTCATGTTAATGGTAGATTAATTATGTTAAAAGTAATGGTTTT